ATGTTGTATTTGCTTCTTCCCTTTCTGTCTTTTATCATTGCTGTTATTTCTGTCTCCAAACTAAACTAATTTAATTCTGTCAATTACTTTTGTAACAAATTTACTACGCTTTAGCACATGTAGACACATGCATAAATAAAACTGTTGATAATTGAACAGGGAGATACACATACATGTGATACTCCTTCAATTTATAAATGTCACTTCTGGCAAGAGGAATTAGCTTTTTTTCCAGTAATCAACAACACTGCAGCATATATTTATATGCTATTACTTACAACTTGATGTCCTGACACACATTAGTAATGCTATGTCTCAGACAAAATTATGTTGGGAAAAATATTCTACATGTACATGTACATGTATTACTACCTAATGTAGCCATAAACTAGTAAATTATTATCTATTGTTTTGTTTATAATTTTTTAATCATTGTGGGGCAGCTGGGTCCTCTTCTGGGATGAGAAGATCAATATCAATTTCATTATCATATGTATCCTATTGATGCCACAGACTCAACTATTGACATTATAATATTGAGACTTACCACAAATCCACCCTCTTCATCAATCACCCTCCTTAACCCTCTGCATAAATGTTACATATGACTGAAAATATTGTTTTTAGCAAACCTCTTCATTTTAGCAACTAGTTCTTTGTTGTGTTTTGTATAAAATACACGCCATGGAGCAGAGGTGTCAGCTGGTAGAACATGCTTTAGGAAATTTATTTTGGTGAACAATAGATAATACATTTTATTGAACTAACCCATTCTGTAGTCCATTGTTTTACAGTGCCATCAGAACTGATGTAATACATAGATTCACTTGTAGCTCCTTCATAACCTGATTCTGCAACCTAGATGTACATGTGTATAGAAATTAAATACCGTATAGTACTTTAATTTGGCAGAGTTTTATTTTGGCAATTGGCAGTTTGCAAGCAGAATCGCCAATATTAAAACTGCCAATCATTTTTATGCTCTTGCTCAATAATCCACGTGTACAAAAATTTGCCAAATTAACAACTGCCAGTTACAATTTTATAGCAAAATTGCCAAAATAATGTGCTATAGGGTATACATGTATTGAATAATAATTATATTAATTTCCATACATCAACAATTATGTCATCTTCACTAAGTCCATCTTCATATGCTGCAATTTCTTCTTTCTAATTATGAATTGTGTTTAGCTTATACATATATTTGTGTTAGTTACCAGTTGTTGTGCCCCACCTGCTAATTGACAATTTTTAACATAACCAATTGGTATAAACAGTTTTGAGCTTCTCAGAAATTGTATCAATTTTTCTACCTAAGATACACATAAAATAAATGCATTGTATAGTGTATCCACAAGTCCAACAACCTCTGTATCAGCAACTGTTTCTCTTATTATTCCAATGATTGAGTCATTAATGCGGCAGTAAGTATCCATGGTTTTTATGGCATCAATAAGAGACAATCTATTTCTATTATGTAATCTATTTTTATTAATGTATTTGTCTGATATTAAAATTACCCATCAGGCCCTTTAATAAATTCAGCTTTTCCACATTTTATAAATATTTGATTGATCCTATAAATATCAAATGTTATAACTCAATACACTTTATTATCATACATTGTAGCAACAATCCTGTTTTTGCGTTCAAAGTATAATTCCTTGAAAAGGGCATGGCGATCAGCAAATAATCCATTGTATTTGTCCAAATCCTATTATTTAATGTATACATAATGATTTATTTATGATATGATAATGATACTTCTTCATTAGCACAAATGTGTTTCTTTCCATCAGGACATACTTTAACACGTATTTTATTCAGAATTTTTCTAAAACATCATTGATACAATTACAAAAAATTTAAAATTAACCTCCAATGTAAGATCCTCTTTCCCAAGACAACTGAATCTCTCATAGTAGAATCTATTCTGTTTACATCCAAACCACTCATCCTGTTCACTACTATCTATTAGTAATAATTATTAATAAACAAAATGATTAATCAAACCTCATAAAGGAACACCTTATCTTCACGTATTTTCTAAAATTAAGTATAATTACCAATGATAATGTACAAGATTAAAATAGCAACATACAACCTGTGGTCCCTTTACTCCTGTCATTAATTCTTTAATAAATTCAATATCTTGTTCAGGATTATCCAAATATTCATCAAATGGCAAGTTGTTAGCTTCAATCATATGTTGGAACATCATAACATTAGGACGTGAACCCTAAACTTTGACTAAATAAGTAATATTAGTTAATTCATTATACTTTCCAATAATTTTGAGAAGCTTTGATTTCCTTTAAGAAATTAGTAAAAATACCAGAGAAAGGTCCATGACCCAGGTTATAACAAAGAGCAGCAATTTGTACACACAAAACATCAGAATCAGTAATATTCAGCTCAGGTTGTCTTTTTCTGAGTGTCTTCACAAATTTCCCAGCAAAATAATACATTCTGTACCATTAAATGAATTATTCAGTTTTTAGGTAATTTTAATAATTACCCAATACTTTGCTCATATCTTGAATAACTTGCTTTTGGTATATTATAATATATACAGCCTGAATGAGACTTATAATGGCAATGTAGATAGCTAATTATGATTTACCTAACTTTTTAATTTCCTTTAGTCTTGTAAACTGCTCTGTTCTCACTATTTTTATCAATAAAGGATGATCTAATTTGATAAAGTCATAGATATCATCCTCAAATGCCTATAAAATTATATTGTATGGACTTCACTCGCTCACAACTCATAATCATTATGTCTGCAATATTAAAACTTTATACTTACAATGTGTTCATGTCTTTCAAAATTAAATCGTTTTATTGTCATCAATTTTACTGTTAAGTCTTGTATTTTAATATCTGCATATTGATTAGCATCATTTAACAAATTTCACAGAGATACGGTAGTTTGTTACGTCAAATCAATTAATTCATAGTTTATTTTTTTACAAGCTGGGCTGATGTGGACAGTCAGTTTCATTACTAATATAACTAATATATAATATATTTATTTATGTTATTGCTACAATATGACTTTCAAATTGGTATATTGATAATTGTATAACGATCGAATCACAAATGTACATGTTAATTTGGGTGCAACAATAAAATTGTCCATTGTAATTAGTAATATTTCTTTTTTACTCTCAGCTGGTAATGTTTTACATTGTTCTAAATACATAATAAGTTATAAAACCTTGTATTTTCTGGGTTATCTGGTCTTTTTGTAATAATGTAATAATATTAATGTAATATACTCCATAAGTTATGAACTTTTGGTTAGACTGACCTTGCATAATCTGGTCTTTTTGTTTTAATTCTTTTTGCAGTTGCTCAATCATTTTTTCTGCCATAGACAATTTTCCTGTGGACATTATACATGTTTTTATAGATAGTTTCTACTTAAAATAATATACCTTTTAACTTTCCATTTTGTGATAGCAACTCTTGTACTATTTTATCTCCTACAATTATAATTACATAAAAGTATTGTAAATCTTATTTACTTTCATCTTCATCAGTTGCTGACTGTAATTTCTCAATTTCTTCATCAAAACCCTCCTCTTCACCTTCCTTCTCTTGATAATAGGATGCTAACTGTACTTTAAATTGATTTATTTCTTCATGCTTTCGAATTTCTATTGTCTCTTGTAAAGAGGCTTGTATGAATAATAAATTATATTCAAATAATAGATTTGTTTATGCTTTCTTCCTTAATATTTTCTTTATTTTTATACCCATTAACATATAACTATGAACTATGTTACCTTCTTTCTCGGATTGAAATAAAACAAGCTGCTGTTCTTTCAACTTCTCATTTTCCTAATTTTATTATTAATAATAATAATATTTTTCATTTCTCACTAACTTCTTCACGTTCTGTTAAATGTGATATTTTATCTTGTAACTGACTAGAGTCAGCTAAAAGAATTATATACATCTAATAGCTACATATTATTTTTATACCTGCTAGTTCTTTTAACCTTTCACTACTCTCTTCAAAACTACCACTCAGCATCTTTTTTCTAGTTTCTAGTGTTTCCTTCAATGACTCTGCTTCTTTTTTGAATGACTTTGCCACTTTCTTTAACAACTCTGCCTCTTTCTTCATTGATTCTGCTTCTTTCTTAATTGTCATATTTTTCTATGAAATAAAATATTAAACATATTATAACGAACTATATGATGCAAAAAATGATGTTAGATCTACTTGATTAAAATGATGTACCTCATTTAAAGTAGTAACCTCTTCTTTACTATTAATCAGTTGTACACTCAATGACAGCATCAACTGTTTTGATAAACCGCACTTAGTAGGAGTGGAGGTGTCATTTACCTGTATAACATCAATTCATAAAATAGGTTATTTAGATCTACCTCATACACAGTGCAGTATCCAATGGTTAATCTCTTCACTTTGTTTTCTTTCAATACATCAATATTATTAAGAGCAGCTGTAATTAACTGCTCAGATAGAATCAAAGGGAAGGAACAAGTGATGGTGAAAGAATTGTCATCTCTAATGACACTCAACTTGATGCGTCTGCTATTTTGTAGTGATAATTTGTGAAAGGTATTGGCTGATAATCTCCTGACATCATTCAATGTGCACTCGTCAGTATTTCGATCAACGACAATGATGATCCTTTCACATTGAAGTGGTGAAGCATATGAAAACTCTTTATTCAAGCATTTACTAAGCTCTGTTTCACTAAACTTCTCTATAGCCTCACTATATTCCTGAATAGCTGCCTTAGCCTCATCTAGATGGACCTCATTAATGATAGCCTTCAGCAATTCTATATCATCTAGTGAACAATCTTTCCTAACTAATTCCAAAATGTCGTGAATATTGTCACACTTAGCTACTTGAAGCTTTAAATCTTCATTGTAATACATCAATATATTCTTTATTTTGTCAAGTGTTGAAGGTGGACATGCTTTTATGATCGATTCAATTTTATGAAATGTGGAACAAAGCTTCACTCGCATTGATTTAAACTTTGAAGTTAAGGATGGTGGAAAATAAATTTCATCTTGTTTAGCTGTTTTTTAAATCAAATTTAATACAGTAGACTGTATATACTTACCTTTATCATCTCCACTTTCGTCACAATGACAAACTTTTCCTATGAAAAATAAATTAGTATCGGATGTAAAAAATTATACTGTATTCTCTCATGATGGTGTTTCCTATCTCCATCGTGGCTGCATATTGACTCAATATTCTAGCAAACACCTCCAGCATTTTAGAATCACTGCAAATGGCTTTTACAATTTCAATCAAAAGCAAATCTTCTTCCCTTTGAACACACACAGTCTTATTTATATGCATCTCTGAATGCAACAATGGAACCATCTGGGGTAATGCAGTGACAAGTGATTGGTTTGAGGTATGAGCAAGAATTTTACAAGCAGGATGCTCTAAAAATAAATTACATAATGATGCTCATGTATACTAAACTCACTCTCCATATCTATTCCATTAGCTACTCCATTCTCTCCTAGTTTCCTCAATGCTGATACCAATGAAAAGACAGTCGGGCCACCTTTCTTCACTACATCATCATCAGCTTTCTTTAGCCATGCTTTCAGACACTCACGCAAACACACTATAACATCATTTTTGTTGTTCTCTTTAATAACATCCAGTCTAGCAGGAGATAATCCAAGATAAAGACCAAGATTATAAAAGCTGACTCCTGAGTAACCATGTCTGCTGAGTAAATCAAGTACCTCAGCAAGATCAGTAAGTAATAAATAACTGGAATTACATTCAATGAATAA